ACGCGTTATTGGGCTCATTGTAGCTAGCGACTTTCTCTTCCCAGAGCTTCTTACGGTAATTTGTAATGTGCTTCTTGATGTCCTTATTAAGCCTATTGAGCTGCTTCTTGGTATTTGGATCCCATGTAATATGAAACCTTTTTCTGAATTTGTTCCATCTTTGATCAGATCTCTAATCTGCCTTGGAAGTCTCTCTGCGATCTGCTGCCTAAGAATTTTTCTGGTGGCGTTTTTATACGCAGTTTGAATATCACCTCAAGATTGAAGGGGAATGATGTAGTCGACATAAATAAGTCTAAAATATCTCCTCTCCTTGGTTTGTGTGGTAGGTACGTATACTCTCTTGGCGAGTAAAAATAAATCGGGTAGTTGTTGATGAATTCCAGAAGTTTCATTCCATTTTTATTCGTTTTTCTGCAACACCACTCTGAACTCTTAGCGTTCAGATCTCCCGCAAGAATCACTTGCTTGTTTATATCTAAGATCTTGGCCATATAATTTATATCTAACGTATTCCATGGCGGGTTGTACAGAGAGTTAAATCAGACCGTGCCATAGTAGGGAAGTAGAACTGATACCGTGACCAGGAGTTGGTAAGGCTCAGGATGAAATTGGATTCAATCCAGAGAGCTTGGGTTTTGGCTATCACTCGATGTTTTAGGACAGTTCTCACGGAGGTGGTGAGTATCTTGGCCGGTTTGCCGCCCCTCTCAGTCTTGTATAAATTATATTATCAGAAATATTTATTACGATCCGGTAATATGGACTTTATTCAAAATGATTCAAATATTGTTACTAAACATTCTTTTGAAAAATTTAATTACCATCTGGTTCATCCGACAAAACGTATTTCTTATAGTTTTGATAAAACTTTACCTAAAATTGATATGTATGATGTCTATACGGATGGTTCTGGGATCGGGGGACGCATTGGAGCAGCTTTCGTTATTTACTTTTATGGAACAGAAATTCATAATTGGCAATACGGATGGTTCGGGAATCGGGAAGAAAGATGCTGAAGAGGGCAGCTAAAGGTCCCTCCTCATCAGGAGAAAGAAAGTGATTTTCTTGAGGCTTTTCATATTCACAAATATTTAGCAGGTTTAGTTAATGATTTGAAGTCAATCCTCTTCCTAATGCCTTTAAAATTCTACTATCTTAATTCAGTTATTTTTGCCGATAGATGGCGTTCCTCCTCGCGTTTGGTACTACCAGAGGGTATAAATCCGTTCAGTAGTGCTTCCATTATAACATTTGTTCTGCATTTATTCTGTTATTTGTAACTAAAATTATTGCTTTCCTGAAACCATCTTCGACGTTTATAATGAAACCATGATTCTGTTTACCCCCCCATCCCGTATCATGGACTCAGAACTTCAACTTGCAGGACTGCTAGACTGTTATGTGATGAAATTGGTTTATTCCATATGTTTACTCTGATGATTACTAGAAAAATTTCCCTTTTATGTAATTATTTCTGCAAATTTGTACATTTAATGTTTTCTTCAGCATTTCTAACCTGAAATCTCGCAACGTATTAACGAACTTCTTCACACTCACGTGACAAGGTTGTCACGCCCTCTCAACATCTGCAATCCTGACTTAGGTCTCACTCATGCATTCTACTTTCAGCGCTCTATAGCAACTAACTCACACAGCCGGAACAAAACTTGCAAATCCTGCAAGTTAATCAGCGGCGCATCCAGCGGTACTTGGAACTTGGAAGCTTTCTATTATTCGAAGTTCAGATTTTGAGCGTGAAGGTGCATTTGCTCCTCGCTCCCTATTTTTAACTTCGCTAATTTTTCTGGTCTTTCGTGTTACATGTTTGATCAGATAGCCTGGCTCAGTAAAAGTAGGCGGCCAGTGTAACTCTGATCAAAAATACTGTTATAACCACGTGCAGTGCTGATAAGGACCACGTGTTTCTGAGACTCCTTCCCCCTTTATTTTCTTCTTTCTAGGCTTTTCTTTCTCCTGATGAGGAGGGACCTTTAACTGCCCTCGAAATCGATTGTTTCTATATACTTACGCTAAATACAAGGTTGTTTTTACGATTTTGACTGTCACATTAGCGTGTTTCTCTTCTAGTCCAGTATTATTTGATTTTAAGAATTTGAATTTTAAACATTTTAAGCATTTTTCAAGTATTCTAATGCGCTTTGTTAATAATAATAGACAAGTTGTTCGCATTTTGGTTTGACGGATTTACTTTGGTGAGCATTATCGGTGGTGCAGTAATTTTTAGGAGTTTTAATTTAAATTTTTAATTACACTTGGGATTTAAGGGGTTTAATTCTTAGTTTTTATGTGTGATGCCCTGTCAATTCCAGTATGTTGTTTTTTTGGTATTATTTTGTGTTTGTGTTGTCCTTATATATGTACCTTTCCTTATTTTTGTTTTCTTATGACATATATTTTTCTTGGTTAGTTTTTTTTTTTTTTTTTTTTTTTTTTGTTTTTGTTTTATGGGTGCCCCTTTAAGATCATAAGATCACTTCGTGATCAGGTGGGTGGGGAGCACTCCAGCAATCTCAACCGTGACCAGCTCATGTCCATTGTGACGCTCATCAGTAATCATGCAGGACTGTAGGGGAGCTCCTGACATAAATGGCGACCCCTCCACCTCGGTGACTCAGACGATCACATATATAACATTTGTAGTTTGGGATAGTCAGTCTTAGACTCGGCGTAGCGTAGGTTTCAGTTTAACGGCTTCTGCAATTTTGCTTAACGTTAAGAGCTGGCTAATCGGCAGATATGCAGCAGAGTCAATTGGGTCTTTCCCAGATTTCAAAATCGGTGAGATGATTGCTATATTCCAGTTGGCTGGAAAATATTGAATCTTTGATCATAAGATTATGTGAATTTGCAGATCGTTTTATTGCTTATTCTGTCCAATCTGGGCTTTTCCGATTTTTTCTGTTTTCGGTATATCTAATCACCTCCGATGACATGACTAAATGCCCACCAGCGGCCGAGCGGTAAAGTCGCTGAACACTGGTAGTTCGGTCCGAGGTTCGAATCCCGCGAACGGGCTGGCTGCATGGGTGTTTTCCCCATGTGTAACGTGTATACGAGCCAGTTTCCCTTAGAAAGTCCTCCACGAAAGGCATCCCTCCCCTTTGGCAGATAGCCCTAGTGTGCTTTGCCGTAATTAAATACACCACCACCGACATGACTAAATGGACTTTTATCGTGTGTTACTTCTTCAAAAGAACTGTGTTTTGAGTGATGAAACTAAATATTTCTTCTGTGGGAGGATATGTTGTAGCGCAAAACTGAAATGCTTAGTTATCAGTTAAAGACTCAGCTTCCTCAATTTCAGTGCAAGCGATCCCGTTGGGGTTGTTAAGGCGCGGAATAACCTGCATTCTGTCATTTATACTCAGAAACGGCATTCCAGACGGAATTATCGTCAGCGAAAAGTGGTTCTAAGTATCCGGTTCAGCCCAGTTGCGCTTGTTCTTCGATGAGGGTCCCGACTTTCTGATCGAGTCTGTTCACAGCTCTTTAGTCTTGGGATGTCCTCTTTTGTCCTTTCTTTCGTGATCTTTGCCAGTTTTAAGAGCTAGCTTGATTAGGTTTTTTTTAATTAGCTCATGAATGGCAGGATTTTTATATCTTTTAAATTCACTAACCTCTTTGCTATTATTGATGTGAGCTGTACACAGTTCATCTGTGGATTCATTAATTAAAACATCTAACTCATTTCTTTTAGGTATGTCAGGTATTATGTACCAAGTATTTAGGGCTTTGGCAACCCTCCCTCAGTTCTTTTAAGTGATTCTTTAGTGGGGTGTAGTGTAGTTACTGGCACTAATTTCCATAGTAACCGGGTTAAAATCGAATGCATTTGCACTCACGTCTGAGGTGTTGACGTCAGCTCATGGAATTTGCGGGATTTACATATAAGCTACACAGGCTAGCTTGGGGACCCCAAAATTGGCCGTATAAAGAAATGTGAAATATTTTATTTATGAATAAAACTGATTCTTAATTAAAGATTTATTATTTCACTATGAACATACTTCCTAAATGTACAGTTTAACCCACTAGGTATCCTAAAATCATATTTATCACTGACACAGAATATCTTGGCTTATAAAGGGCCCCATATCTCCAATACCTTAGGGCCTCATCAAGTTTATATCCTCCCCTGGGGATGCCATACCATACCAAGATTGACTGTTTGGCAACAGTCTTCTGCCCCACGTCTCACGCGATTTTGCCTAGAACATTTTAACATATAGTCTTATAATAAACTTCGTTGATATACGCAATCATCTATTACAAAAAATTATCTGGAATGTTGCTGCAATAAGAATGGTAACAAGAATGCTCAATTTTCACAGGGGTACTTTCAAATGTCAGCACACCTATTCCTAATCATACATTTGGTAAATGTTGGAACACATATTCATTCAAAAATGTTGATGGACTAGCTAATTAGGATGTCTCGTATGTCACATTATACCTTAGAATACTAAGAATGCTCTATATGTATGTATATCTTGTTGGGTAATCATACCAGAAACATAAGTAGTATATTTGTGAAAGAAGACTTCCAAAAATACTGACATCTTTCACTTTTGAAAGTTCTTATTTTTGCATAAATGTCGCATTGTTTGAGATCACAATGATTTCCTTTTTAATTCATGAACACTGTACATATTAATTTCTATCATGCTTGGATAACTGTTTATGTTTATATCATTTTTATTACGTAAAAAGTAAAGTCTCTTCTCATCTTCACTTGTACTGATTATTGGCACTTTTAGACTGCAGTAAAGGCCCAAGTTTGGCTTTCAGTATAACCTGCTAATTCAGAAGATCATAACAAACAAACAAAACCTCCCTTACCCCCCCCCAAAAAAAAATTGTTTTTTAGCAAATTAATGTGATGCATTCTTATCACACCACACACAAATTAAATGCAAGAACTTTGCTGACTTACATCATGCATTGAAAATATTGCAAATAAATTACAAAGACAGATGATTACGCTATAAAGTTTATTTGGTTTACCTTAATTCTTTGGTTACATTAAAAGTTTCGGTGAGATGAAAATTAAGTATCCTCAATATTCTTGTATCACACATAAGAAAATGAAATTATATATAAATAATATTTTAAAAGTAGCTACTTTACATAAATTACAAAGCTAGAAAAAGTAATGATTTCAGTTAAAATAAATAAAAAGAAAATATTTGCATTCACAATGAAGTCATACTATATCACAGATGTTTCTTATCACAACCATACTCATCAAGAGGGGGGAAAAATCATCATAAGTACAAATTTTCATTGCCAGAGATTTCAGGAAACAAATTAAGTAAACTATGAATATGTAAAGGTACATGCCGATTTGAATACCGAAAATTGGTAAAATTCATCCTAAGTTTGGCAGTAACTTTAAATGGAAAGACTCAATGAATTTCAAGAAGCAATCTATGTTGCTTCTGATGAAGATTGATCCATATCAAATTGTCTCTTGAAATGTATTTCTTCATTTAAAGTCACTGCAATATTAAAGCTGAACTTATCAATTTAAAAATTATAACAATGGGATTTTTATACAGTATGGCTGGAATACATTGAATGAATTTGGATTATTTTAAGATGAACTAATTACTATAAGAAGGAATGGAAAGTGACTAGGGATATAGAGGAATTTTATATTAAAAAAAAATTACTATTCACAACTTTGGTGACAAGCATGACAATTTTTAATAGCATATACAAATAAATAAAATGAGATAATATTCAATAATATAAAGCTTTTGAGAAAAAATTTCAGTACCAGTCATTTTTTTTAAATATTGCAACACCCAAGTTACATTTTCATAAATATATAAAAAATATTGAATGCTCTAAAATCATTTGATTTGTGAATCTTACTTTAGAAGAAATTAAACAGAATTAATCAGGTTATATATCATACATCAGTGGCCTAAGTTAATCAAATGAGATATAAATCATAAAGCTGAGGATAAACATTTCTAACAATTCCATACTCTAGGCTCATACATGGAAATATTAGCACTTCTCATGAGATGAGAAGACAGTAAGTTAAAGCTAGAATACTCCAGTATGAAGGCCACATACAGATTCAGACTTATTCTTAGGAAAGAATTAAAGCATATTTTCTGAGAATTGTAATTTATATTTGCAATTTGAAATACTAAATTTCCAGTCCCATCACAATTAGTTACTACTTTTAGCAAAAAATTATCAACTTGATTTTTAACCGCCAAAATTCTTCTTTTTATTTTTTTTTTCCAGTTTGGTTCTAGCTTTAAACCTTTATACATATTCATTATTCAGATTACAGTACAGCTAAATAGGTTTGTTTAAAATACTATAGAATATAATTTTTTTTCTCAAGTGCTTCTATCCTAATTAATGTGTACAAAAGGAGCACCTAGAAGTTTTTTACATGAAATTCCTTCAAATCTAATTTGCTAGAGTCTATAAGCAATAATTAATATGCTGTATGAAACCTGAAAATTCAGGCTACTGCACCACTGGCCAAGTTGAGTATCAAATTTTCATACTGACACTTGGAATAAATTAAACTTTATCAATCAAACAATTTCTTTCATAACTCAAATTACATTTCATTCTTTCTTTATTATTTGAAAATATACTTGCATACCATTCTCCAGAACATGTGACACTCAATTTTGACAGTAAAAAGGACATGACAGCTCCACATATTTTTAAAATAAAAATACTAGATGTTTAGAAAAGATATATTTGTATATATATATATATACATACATACATATACATATATATGCTACTGGGTGGCAATTCTTCAAATGAAGACTTAAAGTCAGGGTATTTACAAATACATGAACATTGACAAATTTTAATAACTATTCGACCCTGTTTCTAGTTTGACAAGATGCACATCAGATTTAAAAAAGGTTAACTGAATAAGTAGATTATAAAAATTTAATACATTAAATTTTTAAATATAATGAATAAATACTTAATAAATGGAATGTTTACAAAATAATAAATAAGAATGCAGATAAGCAAAAACTTTACAGCAAATGAAGTGAGTATAGTTTTATGCAGGATGGGCAGACAGAAGGTGCAGAATCAAAATAGCTCTAAATAAACCAAACTGAAGTTGTACACCAGCAAGAATTTTAATAGAAACTAGAATCTTAAAATATAGTTTAAGAATTCAATGGCTTAAGCAAAATGTGATTGTCTTTTATAAAATCAAATTATACATCAAATCTGCATTTTTGTTTTATAATTTGTTTCTAAAGCTTCTGAGTTCTGCAAAGTGTCACTTGCATGATGCAGAAATTTTAAAACAATATTTTTAAAATCTGTTTGTGATAGATAGACGGTATATATTTTAACTTAAATCTATAGACTGACACCTTCTGCCTAAATTCTTAAGATGTGTCATAATTAACATGAGGGGAGGGAGGGAAAATTACACTAAACACAATATCTCATCACAATAATAATACCATGTTTAAGTATATTCAAGCAATTTTTTTAATATGTTAATCATACAGACTAAAATTCTTAATAAACACAATGGAGACCATTTAACATGAAAATGAGTATCAATATTTTAAGCAAATCAAATTTTAGGTTAAAAATAATTTTGTGTCACATTTAAAACAAATTAAACTAAAATAATAATATAAAGAATTTATAATCTAAAAATACGCATATAAATTTTTAATTTAAATTTACTCTTTTAATTCCTAAATTGATTTTAACAAACTTAGTTGAATATTATTTTTATTTATTTATTTTGCTACAGCACAGATTTATGTAATAATAACATAGTTTGATTATTTCTCTCAATATAATCTAAAATAACTTTAATTTTATACAGAGCATATTTCATAAAATAAATTATGTTTGTCAAAGAAATATCTGTCACGTTAAACTAGCCTAAGAAAAATATTTCTTGTTAGCAGAAATAACTGGATTAGACAAACCCAAACTGTACTTGATCTCATTCCCTTTCCTCTGAACATTTGCATGCAAGATGCTCTCCATTGTATTTTCAAGAAAGCTAATTTACTTTTAATGTATTCTCTCTTCTGAATTAACTCTAACAAAATTAACTGAATGCTATGTCTATGTGCAACACAAATAATCTACATCTGTCAGCTTACATTTTCTTACCATGCAAAATCTTTTTTGCAAGTGCTAGTACTGAAAACAAACAAAACAAACTCACAAAACAACACTGAAAGAAAACATACATTCTAACTTACAAATAGTGATTGACATTACAGCAAATGAGAATAATTTAAGTTGCAGCGGATCAAAAAAGTGAATTTCAAGTTCTAGACTAGTTTATGTAAAGCTAAAAAACTGTAGCTTGAATTTTTGGTTCAAATTAACATTTTATTTATTTATAATATTCAAGCTTAGTGAATCTCATGAATGTTATCATTTTTATATATAAATTACCTTTTAACAAAATACACAAAAACAAGGGAAAAGAAAATATTTCAAAATCACAGAATATATACAAAATGCTCAAAAACGAAACAAAATGGAATGAAAAAAGAAATTGTTGTTCCTAAATCAAATCACAGCTATGCTCAATAATAAATAATATTCACAAAGATAATTATTTTTATGTTTACCTTTATAACAATGTATGTGGCTGCACAAAAACAATATTTCTGTTCTGCATCTATTGAATAGTATTCCTAAAGTGAAGCGAAATGTAGAAATGAGTTTGGTGATTAATTTTTTATAACACATCACTATCTTGATATTTCTTACATATATAAAAAGCCTGTTAACAATGTTTGATAAAATGCAATGAGCATGAATTTTCAATGAAACAATACCAGCACTTGCTTTCAAGAACTCTATGCAGGGAGAACATAATAGAGGTGCAGATAATCATGTGAATATCTTTAAACAAAAGTCTGAAAATTTCAAATTCCTAATTAGATGAGATGACTATACATTGCATCTAGCTGAGGTTTGAAATATTTTCGACACTCAAGTCGTTTCGTTTTTAAAGTAGGAGTTAAGAGACCATCTTCTATAGCAAATAGTCTTGGATGGAGATAAATGTCTTTTACCTGAAATTAAAAAAAAAATGTATAATTATAGATATTAATAGATAATTTATTAAATTTTGCTAACTGCTAACAAAAGATGAAACTTTAAATAACTAATACCTAAAAAAGTCCATGAAAAAAATTTTGTTACATGCCTGTAACTCAAAATATTTTCATTTGTAGACATAAAATAGACTAAAACACCATAACTTGTTTTGGAGTTAAAGCATCTTTCAACCATTCAGCGTAATACAACATTTTCAGCAAAGAATGGGAACTGGTTCCTCTCATAAAAAACACATCCATGCTATGCTACAACTGCCTCATTTACTGGATATTTCACTGCAGACATGTTCAAGGGTGGAAGAATATCCCTCGAAAATGACCTGGGAGATTTTCGATGAGCCTCACATGCAAAATTGCGGGAGAAATTGGAAACTTTTGCAAAAGAAATGTTGGAGGATCAGTAACATTACAGATAAAGTTGTATCATATGGGGCAAATTCTTACTTTTTTAATTTACATTACAGCATCTTACATTTTGAAAATGAAATATATGCACATTGGATTCTCCCTGATAACAATGATTCTCCCTTGTCATGCAAGGTTAATTGTTACTCCTTGTTTGCAGGAGTAACAGGACTAACAGGAATACAACTTATAATGCAGGACTCCTTGTTTGTGATTCTCACAAACCACAAAATGTTACCACATCAAAACATTGTGAAATTTAGTTCCTGCAAACTTCTTCCTTTTTTCAAAGATGAAGATATAGCTGTCACCATTTTCAAATGTCATTCCTGTAATCCAGTGTGAAATGCAAAAGGTTATGAATTCACTTATGCAAAACAACTGAGGTTGCATTCCGAAGGTGGCAGGAATGCTGGGACATTGCTTTGGAAGACGACAATTCTTAGGGAGATGATATTATGCAGTTAGTCCAGAAACTTGTTTTATCTACTGATATATGTATTTTATGGTAAGAAATATTTTAATACAAAAATCAATATTAATGTCTTACTGCCAATGTCAAAACTTTTGACCAGATGATTAAAAATCAATGCTCTAAATCTAGATTTTTAACCAAAGTACTGACAGCAATCAATTTTGTATATTCCTAGCAAATTTTATAATGCTTATTGGGTTAGAAAGAAAGTAAAAATGCTACAGAAATTTTCACATGCATGTACACAGAAAGAGGGAAGAAAAGCAAACACCGATTTATGAAGAGTTTGCCATTTCATGCAAAAAGCTAGTACCTGATAAATGATAAATAATATTACTCCTTATAAATTTTACAAGCTTTGACAGCACTCAAATAGTGGAAATCCACAGCTTTATTAAAGTGGGAAAAAAAATCTACTGGGCTGATTAATGAAATTCAAATTATGGTTTTAATGTCTAAAAAGCACAACTTAATATATATATATAGATATAGATAGAAGATTTATATATAGCATTGTTTTAACATAGGTATTTTGACACAAAATCGGACTTTTCTGAAATAACATGCCAATTTTTTTCTATGTTTTAATTCTGCAACTCAAACTTTCTCAGTTCAGTTATTCCTCTGAAAAATATTTTGATGCTATAAAAATTGTTTGCCTATGAATAGTATTAAAATCAAACTCTAAAGGGCCAAAGTTTGCAAGAAAATGTACTTCATTGAAAGTGCTTATTATATCTTTACGTGGTACAATACCTTTTTTAGAATTTCAGAAAGGGCTTGATCAAATTGAATTTTGTAGTGATAATTTGGTGCATCTTTTCCTCCATGTGGATGTTAAACTGAAACCATTGCTTTTTGGCTTATAGTCCTTTCGCACTGAACCTTCTGTTTTTCTGTTAACACTTTCAGAATTTTAAAACTATTTATTGAAAGCAGAAACTGTCTTGAAACATTTGGTCATCTTGTTATTAAATTTCTCTTAATATTAAATTTTGTAAAATTTGGTGCGAAATTTATGGAGAAATTAAAAAAATTATCTTGGCGCATTTTTTTTTTTTTTTTTTTTCAGTTTGTGGCAAGAATAATTCACAAATTATTTAAAAATACAAATTGTAAAAAAAAAAAAAAAAAAAAAAAAATTAAATGGACGAATTTTATTTGGAATGAACCTTAATTTTGAAATGTGAAAGGGAGAATCAAATAAGTTCAATAAAAAAAGATATATTAATAAGTATATACCAAATTCAATTAACATGGAGGATGTAAAATTTTGAGAGCTAATTTTTTAAAAACTGCTCAAGCGATTTTTACAAAACTTGGTAGTTTGGCATAAATTGAGTCATAGAATCGAAATATAGAAAAAAAATTGGCATGTCATTTTAGAAAAAGTCCGATTTTGTGTCAAAATACCTACATTAGAACAAGGAATGCTATATATAAATCTAATACATATCCTAAGTCGCACTTTCGAGCTAGTACAATGGGAGATATAGAACTGTCCCACTTTTTTTTGCACAGTGTACATTAGAGTATTGAAAAAAGGTTACTGAAACACTATATACAGCTATGAAAAAAGCTGTGGGTAAAAACCATGTCTTCAAAATTTGAGCTGATTATTAAGTGGGATTATTATTAGATTTTTAGCAGATGTTTCCCGCTTCAAATTTCCTGACAACTTATTTTTTTAATTATAATTTTAATCACCAAGAAATGCTTAATATGGTATATTATTATTTTAGAATTAAATTTAATAAGAAATTCTTACAGTTGTACGACATGAAAAATCTCTGAAAATCTTAGTGCCGTCTATATTAAAAGAGAGAAGAAAGATCTTTTTTTTTTTTTTTTTTTTTTTTTTTTTTTTTTTTTTTTTCATCTTCAGACGAAAAATAAATTTTTGATTCAAGGTGAAAACACCAAATATCATAGAATTTGAATAGGCAAATATATGAAATTAAACATTTCATATAAACATACCACTGCCAATAATAGAAGTTGTTCAAATTTCTGCTTTTCATTTATACCAGCATTCTAAATAATCTTTACATCCACATGGAGGAAAAGATGCACCAAATTATCACTACAAAATTCAATTTGATCAAGCCCTTTCTGAAATTCTAAAAAAGGTATTGTACCACATAAAGATATAATAAGCACTTTCAATGAAGTACATTTTCTTGCAAACTTTGGCCCTTTAGAGTTTGATTTTAATACTATTCATAGGCAAACAATTTTTATAGCATCAAAATATTTTTCAGAGGAATAACTGAACTGAGAAACTGTTGGCCATTTAAAAGCAATGCAGATAATTACAGAAATAACAAGATGACCGAATGTTTCAAGACAGTTTCTGCTTCAATAAATAGTTTTAAAATTCTGAAAGTGTTAACAGAAAAACAGAAGGTTCAGTGCAAAAGGACTATAAGCCAAAAAGCAATGGTTTCAGTTTAACAAATCTTGTGCACCAAAAGAGGACACAGAGAATAATCAAAATTAGATTTCTTAGCAATACGCCAGTGTTCTCCTCAGTCTCAAATCAAGGCTTATTGTAGCATATGATTTTAATTACATTTACATCAACAGGAAGCAAATAACATGAAATATTTTCCCTTACATTGGAGAACATGACCAGTGGTGAAAGTATGATGACATGAAAAGGAATGATGATCAGTGGATGTATTTCCTGCACAAATTCAATAGAGGACCTAAAAGTAATGTGATACTTCACATAATACTTTTTAAATATATACAGTCAAAAGTCTTTAATTCGGACTCGTCGGGACTTTGGCGATTCCGGCTTATCGGTTTTTCCGGATTATAGATCATCAGTTTAAATCTGGTAAGATGGCATGCAGAAATTATAAAATTAAAAATATGAAACCATACTTTATCATCAGTTTAAATCTGGTAAGATAGCATGCAGAAATTATAAAATTAAAAATATGAAACCGTAGTTTGTCATCAGTTTAAATCTGGTAAGATGGCATGCACAAATTATAACATTAAAAATATAAAACCGTAATTTATGAAATAAATAGCAATTATGATCTAAAGGGTATCAAAATTTACAAAAGAAAAGCTTAATATTTATTTGTTTACTTTATTAAACATTTCTTTTGACGCGCGCATGTGTAAAGCATACATTATGCATAGTCGAAATTAGAAGATTGCAACCAGAAAACTATTTGATGTGTATTCATGATATTTATAATGATGAAGAATTTGATTTAAATCATATCAAAGACGGAGTACATCGAGATGAAATAATACATTTAGTAAGGAATTATAAGCCGAATAAAAATAAAAACATCTGCCCTGAAGATAAGGATAGTGTTGACAGATAACTTCCAGTTCATTGCACACTGCGACGTGCTCACATAAAACAAACCTCGTAGGTGAATTTCTCAGAGTCACAACTGGTCCTCTGGATATGAATCCTACATATAATTTAAAGGACAATCTTGGAGGAGCTGTTGCAAGGCAAAAATTCTACTAAATATCTCAATGTCATGAATATCATACTTGTTACAAAGCTAGAACTTAATAAATCAAACTATAATTACCTGCATTACTCAGAGCATGAAATCATATTATGATATGCATGTACAAATTATATGAGGTTATATTTCCAAATAAAAAAATTGAAAGTATGTAAGCATTTCTGAAGCATTCATTTGTCATTTCAGTTTTATTTGCTTTTATGCTTTTTGCATAATTTTTTTTTTCGTATTTATGCGTCATGATGCTATGTGTCACTCCAAATAAATTCATTTAACTGAATTTAATAGTGTCTGAGAAATCAATGTTTTTGCTCCAAGTAAACAATTTTGCACCAAATCAAATTTGTACATATATTTTTTATTTTTATTTTTGACATTATATGCATCAAACAAATTTCTCATAGAAATACATTTATAAATGAAGGCCCACCAGCGGCCGAGCGGTAAAGTCGCTGAACACTGGTAGTTCGGTCCGAGGTTCGAATCCCGCGAACGGGCTGGCTGCATGGGTGTTTTCGTGGTTTTCCCCATGTGTAACGTGTATACGAGCCAGTTTCCCTTAGAAAGTCCTCCACGAAGGCATCCATCCCCTTAGGCAGATAGCCCTAGTGTGCTTTGCCATAATTAAATACACACACACACACATTTATAAATGAAAAAAGTCTATTCACCAAGGCCTTTCTCTCCATGAAAATGTCTATAAAATTTTAAATTCATTTAACAAAGTATATGTTTTGTAATGTAGGTATAAATAAATTTATTTTATATAATAAACATACCCATAACAAATATATTCTGAAATTTTCTTATTTCCACAAACAAAAATGGACATTTTATACTAGGTAAGAATTTTAATCAAATGCTTCATGTCATTCAGAATATCACTCTCATATACTCATTATAACTATATAGAAAGAAATCGAACAGTCAAACTAGTTTCTATTAAACTTCTCATTTGGTACTTGGCATACAGAAATACCATTCATCGGTGCAAGCAGAAATTGAATTCTAATCTAAAAGCAACTGCAATATAATAAATTATAAATAAAACTTTTAATTCTAAAAATAATTAAATATCACATAAATTCAATTTAAGGAATATTTGAGAAACAGAATACTTTTATTTTGGATTCAAGCTTAGCATACATAAAAAGTATTACATTAAAATTCAGATGTCTTGAATAAAATCTTTTGAATACAATCTTTGTTTTCATATTTCAGATGAATATACGGTGAAATATGTTTAACATGAAAACACTTAAAACGAAATATTGGTTAACATGAAAGAATACAATGATCCCAACAAATTATTATGTATTTTCATGCATTTTTTTTCTTTTAACTGTTTGAGTCCGGCGAGCGCTTCACTTGTCGTATGCCAAAAATACGGCGCAGTGCGTTAGCGCTTCTCTTGTTTTGTATTGAGAATGCGAAGACAATGCTGTTGGTTAGTACACTTGAAAAAAAATTATTGAAAATTGAAAAAAAAAATATTGAAATATTCAATTGGTTTCGCGTAAAGCATACTAACCAAATAACTAATTGCGTAAAGTATACTAACCAACAGCAGCGTCTTCGCATTCTCGATACAAAACAAGAGAAGCGCTATCGCGCTGTGCCATATTTTTGGCATACGACAATACAAATTTTTGGCATACGGCGCTTCGCTGGACTCAAACGGTTAACATGAAACAAAAATCGCTTAACGCAAAAAGATTTCCCTTCTGAAAATGAAAAAAATATGGAAAATAACAACCATGCAGGTGGGATTTGAGAGAGGTGTGAAATGAAAGATTGGCATGTTTCATAAAAAGGAGGCTAACTTGGCTCTGAAATACCCTTGGAATAGCCTGTGTCATGAGACAATTTTGTTTATCTAAACTAGTTTCACCATCCACCCTTACAAACACCATACGAAAACATCTCATCTCTCATCAATTGGCTTTGGAATTCGATGACAAGTACAGTGCAGTGTGTATAAAAAAACAGTGAGTTTGGTTCATGGCAAATGAAATGTAGAAGGAGGATATTGAAACTGAGCCGACACTTAATGAAATGTTTGAAAAAGTTTCTGTACTATTGGACAGCCTTACTGTATCATCGGAAGACCTTTGTTGTAGTAGATGATGATGTGTGTAAAGACCCAATTATGGCAGATAAAGACAGTTTGGAGTTTGTTCAAAGCTAAAAAAATATCACTGATGCAGATTCCGATGACGAAAATGAATAATGCAGCTCCTGTTCCCGCGTCATCTGAAATGAGGAACATCGTGAAAAGTATGCGCAGTTTATTTAGACGCACATTCCAGTTGTGAAACGAATAACAAAATGGCAGACATCGAACAATTTGTTGACGATTTGATGTTAAAAAAAAAAAATGCAAAGAAAAATATCAGATTATTTTCCAAAAACTCAAAAAATGCTTTGTTTCTCAAAGAACTTGAAAATTTTACATTAAATTAAGTTCTTGTGGATGTTTTTCCTTCATTGATTTTTATTCAATACATGCATATATACATATTTATGTTAATAAAATGTACTATAATAAACTTAATTTTGTTGAATATATATTTTTTTTTTCTTTGCAATATCCTTCAACACGAAAAAATATTTCAGTCGCCTCAGTTTCGTGTTAAATGATTTTCACTGTACTAATATGATACAACTTAATTAATGTTGCCACTTATATGAAATGCATACCATTGTAATATATTCTTTTAATTACATACAAAATTATGGAACTGAAATTTTGTACCTGTTCAAAGGATTTTAAACCAGATTTTTTTCCTATTTTAGTCATCTCGTCTAATATAAATTCTTTCACTTCCTAAAAAATAAATAAATAAAAATTTAAAATCTGAAAGTAAATACAGAATGTATTTTAAACATAAATGGTACAGAATTTTTATAACATTGCAGCAAAAAATGTAAACTAAGGAAACATTGATACATTTTAAATATTCACAAAGAAAAAGAAGGAATGCTACAGGAAAAAATCTAAATTTATGAAAAGGTAAAAGAATTAACAGAAGCTAAATGTAAATAAAAGTTGCATGCTTTTTATATTCTAAAGCATCTGAAGGGTCAGTGCATTAATACATATAACGGGTCATCAATAGCATCACTGATATATAAAAAAATAGAACTTTTTTTAAGTACGGAGACCAAAATGTATTATGAATACCTTCTACATATTTATCTCTTTATACATTTTACAGTCTATTAGAATGTGATGACCTACTCTTCTCTTACAGCCAGAATTTAAGAAAAAGGTTCACATTTTTTCCAATTCAAACTAAGAAAGTTCTCAAATTTGACTTAATTCTCGCCCATTAAATGTAAAGAGTGAAGAAAGCTAGTTTTCTGCAATTTCAGCTTAAGAGCTGGCTTTTAAATAAATAAATAAAAATTAAAAAATTAAAAAAAATTGCAGTGAAGAAGCTACAATATTTTTATCAATATAGATACCAAAAAGAACACAGAATTCTATAGAAAATTAAAAAATTTAAAAGGACTATGTCAGCAGGATGTCAGTTGACCAAGAGACGGGGGGTAAACTATGCTTAATTAAATTTTAGAAGTCAAACAGTATACAAAAGCAGATTTTAATTAAAGTAATTTTTTAATAAAACGGATGTATTTCATTACAAACCAATAAGCACTTTTTGCAATGCATTCCTTTAGCTTCAATAAATTAATCAGTGCTGCTTTATGATTAGCTTATTTATGAGAGCTAATAACCTATAATAGTACAGCAATTGTTCTTCTATTACAACAAATTTTCTCTGAAACAGATAGATAGAAAAAACTTCCCATACGTATTCTTTCATTTACTTTTCTTCCCAAACTGTTTTGTGTAACAATACATACTTGTGGAATCTTTAAATGCTACAGTAACTTATATTTCTGGCAAATGAACACATTTTTTTTTTCAACTTTTATTCTTACTGAGAAGTTATAATTTAAAAAAACTATATCCAGTTTTTATATTAAATTGATACCTATTACGCCTGAAACAATGTAATACTGATTACAAGACATTCAGTATAACTTACTGATTGACATTTGAGTTTTTCCCCTAACAAATTATTTTCCTGAAGTTACTGTTAATTTAAATAGAAATTATTTGTTTATTTCTCAGCAACATAGTTAATTAACATTTATGAAGTTTTAAGATTATATAAGACTTCGTGCCATTTCAACACAAAGAAACTTGTCAGAAGTTAAATCTGACAAGTTTCGACATAATGTAAGACCACAACAAAACATAACTTTGTAAACATTTACTTTGTATAAAGAAGTAAAAATTGGTACTATTGTATTATTCAGCTGACCTTGACAAGAAACCACTGGGTAAAGCACTAAGTTGCCATAGTAGGAAACCGAAAATTTTATGAAAATGAATTTTTCTGGCAATTCATTACTCGTAGTGTGAGGATTATGCTACCATGTGATGCCGCCATCTATCCTTGTACTAGTTGTAGTCATTACTGCAGTTTTGAAATTCAAGGTTATGTTTGTAGTTTCTGTTTGTAGGGACGAGTGTGTGTGCTTTTTTTCCTTGTAATGAAAAGTTTGTCCACTATGTGCCTGCTGTTGGAAAAGAAGGCATTACATCTTTTCAGAAATACAGCATTTTGCTTACTAGTAGAGAAAGAGTGTAAAGTATGCAAATTTGCAGTGTTGAGATTTCTGAAATTATCTTTAAGTTAAAACAAATCACTATGCACATGGACAGAATACTGAGAAAACAAAAAGTTAAATGTTTTATTACAGATATTTTCTGCATTTTTAATTTAATTGTTATTGTTTTTTGAAATTTTGAGTCTTTTGTATGGATGTTCATTTTAAGTAATTTTTACTGTTTTATTATGGATGTTTCTTGCATTTGTAATTTTATAATTTGTTGCTATTTTATGTAACTTTCAGCCCAACATCATTTTAAAAATTTTTTACATGGAAAGTTAGCAAAAAGATTAGTCACCAACAATTGTTGACTTTTCAGGAGGGTTTGATAGAAAGTACAAGAATACAAAAAAAAAAAAATCGTATTTTTAATTTTTTTTTAACATTTTGAAAATTTAGCTCTAGAAGTATGACAGATTTATATATTTATTTTTTACATATTTTACAAAGAGCTACAGAACTTACACAATCAGGACATTTCATGACATAAAACATTTTGAACATCAAATGCAGCCAAATTTTCAATAATGACTATAGTCACTGCTAAAGAAAAAGTGCTTTGTAATAACGGAATACCTGGTGCTAGATAAGCATCTTATTCATTTAAGAAATATATAAAGCAATTTACCACAGTTCTGACACTAATTAAATCATGATTATAGTTTAAATTAAATCATTATGATTATAAACAACAATGTGGTTCAGTGGAAGAATATTATGTTTTTGTTGCGAATACAGTTGCAATGGTTCCAAGACTTTTTTATTTGAAGTCCGAATTTACATCATTTTCATTACTATTAAAAACTAATGTGACTAGAGACCAGAAACTCTGTAAACTAACTGAATTAATTTACAGTGTGCTATAAATCTTATTCAAATACTTTAAGATACAGATTGGATTAACTGTTATTTGTACTTGTCAAAAAGTAATTAAGCTCAGTTATAAATTTTTCCACTGAGAATAATCACTTTGTTTGAGAATACATTTATATGTGAAAAGTCTTTTCTCGCAGTTGAAATTTAATAAGAAAAGAACCTAGTTAATCTACGAGCATCTATAATCCACAATGAAAATAACTTTTAGTAATTTTTCTCCAGTGTATGGACATTATACAAACAAATTTTGTATTCACATAAAATATTTATAATTATTTACATACGAGCATATGCATTTTAATTTGTATGCCAAAGGAAAATTTAATAAATAAGACTAGGTAGTCATGATTAATTCTCAAGTTTTGTTCCATTTGGAAAGTTTTCTCAGAAAATTTTCCATGATTTGCTTAGTTTTAATTTAAAGTAAATTATTTAACAATTAAGCATATTAGAATTATCTGAAATAAATATCAGCTTAAGATATTTAGCTGTCAATATGCTTGAATTTTGAATTACAAAGTGTGATCAATAAAACTGTTTTCCAGGTACCAAACTTAAATTTCAGATCGAAAATAAACATAAATTTGAATTTTTTTCTTAATTATTATTGCTTATGTGTATTTTGATAAATATTTAATGAGCAAAATTTTAAAGTTTTTTGTTTTGCTGATAAAATTTTTTCATTATGCTTAAAAAAAATCTGGCCCATCAGCTATTTTCAGAATGTCCATTCAGCCCATGTAGAATTTGAGACCATTGCATTATGCTACACTTTTATCAAGCAATGAATTGCTACAATTTGGTAGAAAGAACTTATGTATTAACTGGCAGTTTGACAAATGTGATCAATATGGTACGACACAGGTAAAGGGAAGGTAAAATAGCAAAGCATAATTTAATGGGAAATGATACCAAAAATGGAAGACTAAATTAGACACTTTTGATACCTAATTTTCAATCTACAGTATTATCGAATAAAATCTTCATCATGCAATAAATATTTCAAATCTTCAAATAGCAAGAAATGAAATTTGTTAAAGCATTAAATTATTTTAATGATTTATAACAACACAAATGAAAAGTATTCTCAATCATTAAATAAAATAATTTAGCTAATCCAACTTAGATATATTGACTTAGACTAATTGAAAATTTTGTTTTTATACAAATATTTTTAATTATAAAATTTTAGAATATTATAAGAACTTAACTAGATGCATAATGAATATAAAAACAAGTACCTGATTCTGACATACTTTATTCCACTCCCCATTTATATTTTTTTCTTTACACCACTGCATCACATTCTCCATTTCAGGGACAACAATACCAACCACACATGCCTTAAACAAACAGTAGCAACAAAAATTAAGCCTGACATACAGCATAACACCTGAAGTACTAACAGTTATTAAAAATGTGGGCGTTAAAACAACTTTTCTGCATGCATAAACATATTAAGAAAAGACTGAAATAATAACCTTTAAACTGTCTCCATGAACAAATACTTGACACACATATGGACAACGAAGATATATATTTTCTATTTTCTCGGGAGCTACATATTCTCCTTGTTGTAATTTAAAGATATGTTTCTTTCTATCAACAATAGTTAGAGACCCATTCTAAATAAGAAATATAAGATTATTTACAAACATATAAGGAAAATTATTTACAAACATTAACGAAAATATTACACTTACTTCTACAGAATATATGAATGCATTTAAAGATGAATCACAATACATACTCAAAACTTATGTTAGAAAATTATAAACTAAATACTGAAATTACAAATTTAAAAAGTCATGAATTTATACGCAAATTAGTGAATATGTTATATACAAAGAAAGTGAGATGTATTTAAGCAAATTTCTTGTAATTCTGATATATTAACTCTTTTTAGTGTACATATATTTTTTATGTCAGTATACACTTGCAACAATAATCAGTATTATCATACTAACAATGATCTCAGTATATGTTAGCTCTTCATAAATCAGTATCTCTGCAAATAGAAATGCTCAAAAATATGCAACCCAAAATTGAAAAGAATATTATTTAATTCTTTAACATGGGAATCTTCAGTAGTATATGCTTTCTGTTTAAAACCATATGCTTTCTGTTTAAAACACAATTATCAGAATGATAACTGTATTACAACAGGAAAGCACATAGCCTGTTTATTATTACTAGCCTAATCATTTAGTTTCTACATTTTTCAGTTTTACCAGTTAATAACACACCATAAAAAAGTTGAAAGAGTTTGTTAACAAAGAAAAAATATTTCTCCCAAAAATTTCATCAAGATTTCATTGATGTAAAATCATAATTCAAAATCAGTAGAAAGTGGGCTTCAATGTCTAGTTTGAGAGTTTCATTTCTAGTGTATTGAAACTGATGAGTTAATTTCACTTACTCAACTACAAAGAAAACACATTTTGTTTTTTAAAATAAGTATTACTACCAGACTAAGATTAGTCATAGGAAGCTTTTTCAATCCTATACTACTTCCTGGCATCTACATGATTATGACTGCAAATTATTTGAGACATCAAATTTTCCAGTTTAGTTCCACTATGTTGACAATACTTTTGCACTATTTAATGGTAATAAAGATGACTTAATAAAGTTCTCTCAATAAATTCCATTAATATTGCTATTACGTTCCATTTTGAACTTGAGACATCCAATTCCCACCCATTTCTCGACATCATGGTCACATAAAATACATCTAATTTCAGCTGCTATGTATCATAGCCCTTCATCCATTTGCCACTCACCACAATTCTAATATTATCATTTCAATGAACAGAAGTTGGCTTCATTTCATTGTTTTGTTTTGTTTTCCATGTACTTGAAAGCTTGTTCCTCCAAGTTCCTCCTCTTAGTCAAGAATTAACTATTTAATAGCAGTTGTCACTGAAGAAGCTTTTCACCTTGTGTCATTGACCAAAGCAGTTAAAAATGTTCATTTCAATAAAAATGATTCTCTCATTTAGAATAATAATATAAATTCAGTAGTCATTTCTTTCTTTCCATTGATAAACTATAAACTTGCACATATTTTACAGACATCTTCTAACTTTTTTTATGCTAGCAATAAAATTTTACAGTTCCATACTTAACCCGCGGGAAAGCATGTGGGGTGTATCATACCCCAACCCTACATAAAAGTGGAATATTCCTAACTTGTGAAACTGAAATTCTGTGCTGCTTTCAGTAGCTGAGTTTCTAGTTGTAGTTGACTTTCAGAACCACTTTTTCTTTGCTTGTGTGTTTTAGAAAAAGATTTATTGGTATTTTGTTGGAACTGGGATATGAGTTACCCCATGCGCCTGCCCGCGTAAGTGTTTTTCTGACTGAATATTTAGTTCAGAAATTTATTCCTAGAGTGTAACAGTAAATATTTCTATTCCCAAGTGATTTTAAAGTACTTGACATTAAATTCTGAAAAATTTCTAATTGCATTATTGTGAAAAGAATGACTCCCTATAAATTGGAGATGCAATGCCTGTAAGATTTATTAGAAATGTTTGAAAGTGATGAGGATTGCATTTCGGAAACTGAAGATTAAACTAGGAATATTTTCTACACTGTTTTGGTTTCGAAAAAGATAAAAACATTAATTCCTTAATGTTCCTAAATAAGGAAAAATTGTTCTTATGCTTTCAACATTATATAACGGATCATACTATAGATGGTACTATTGGAGAAAAAAACGTCAGGAATTATATGTTTTTATAATATGACTAAAGGAGCAGTGGATACGGGGGATGAAATGGCAGCCAATTATTCAATTGCCAGAATAACAAGGAGGTGGCCAATGGTAATTTTCTTTCCTGCACTGAATGTTGCTGTAATAAATGCTTCCACCAACCAGAAACATAAGTCTGTTTTTGAAGAACTTAGCATTACAATTAATGAAAAATGTATTGAACAAAGATCAGAGATAAATACTTTACCTAGAAACTAACGTACTGCATGCAAAACAAAAGCAGAAGTTTCAACGAAGAATTAAAACGAATACACGAAATTTGAACAACTAAGTATGAAAGATGTGATAAATTCTTTGCCCTCGCGCCAAGGACAAAAGAACGTGAATGCAATGTTTAAAATGTGAAAACATTCTGTTCCAAGAAACACGTGAACTTATTTCGTCAAAGTGTGAAGAAAATAAAATAAGCATTCTGTATTAGAGATGCAATGAAACTTAGAGGCATGATGTTTTTTTTTATTATTTTCATTTATCTTAATTTCAACTCTAAGATTATTTTGGAAATTAATTTTTTGAAACCCAATTATTATTCTCGTATTTATAATACTCAAGAACAAGAAAAACAGCTTTAAAACAAAATAAAATTACTTTTATTGTATTTTAAATATTGGGGTATGTGATACCTCACGCGCCCACTCTAGTAACTTTTCTTTGTGCGACTTCCGCCGGGTTAAAAACCACATTCTGGATATGAACTTCTGGGGTACAAATAGTAGTCTTTGGGAGTGTGACTTAATACACATTGGTCAAACTATGGCCTTGAATATAGCCTTGCAATTTTGCAGACATAATAAATTAATACAAAAAATCTACATCTGCCAACACTGTTGTCAAAAAATCAAATTTTTCATTTCTCTGTAGCCAACATTATTTAAAAAACAACTTCTATTTTTAAATTAGATTTCCTAGAGGCATTTAATATTTATAAAAATATTTTAGTTCTAGTTAATAAACCTAGTTCTAATCTTTTTTTTTTTTTTTTTTTTTTACTTTCAATCTTTTAAAGAAATTATTTTATTAGTTGTCTTAACTTTTTGTCAATAGATGACATCAAAGCTTTGTAACATTTTTCTTAATGGGAGCTTTCTTCAATTTTTTGTCTCTTGCTATTGCAAGAAACATGCTTCTCCATTCTCATTTTCCCTCCTGCAGCTGAAGAAGAAAGTTCTATTTTACTATCAAAACTAATCCTGCAGATTTACACATTGAAATTGATAATTGAAAAAAAGAAATTAAACTTATGAAAATTGATTTTTGTTGCTATTTTAGTTAACACTACGGTTATTTTCAAATGGGAAGAGATATTTTCATGGAGGACTTTCAAAAAGAAACTGGCCCACATTTCTGTTACACACAACAAAAGCCCCCCCCCAAAAAAAAACTCATAAAATGAGCCAGTTAAATTTCTGGGAACAGAACCTGGGATGAATTATCTATGTTATGTAGCTTTAGCCATTCACTTATTGGTTAGGAAAAGCTGGAAATGACTATGAAAGTATAATAACTATTATGGTGTTTGAAGAAGAAATATGCATTGCTCATACTTTACATTGTTTTACTTTAAGTGCTATGTAGCTACCAGATATGATAACAAATGCTGTTCATTACTGCTACCTTGTGTTTGGTGCATAATAATTATTTTTGGTTTTGTGCCAAAAAAATCTCACTCACTCACTCTGTTCATTACTGAAAGTTCATCTGCAACTAAAACAGTTTTTTTAATGTAAAGAAAATGAATTATAACCATACATGTACATGGAGCTGAAAGCAAAGATATTCTATTATTTAATTTTATGTTAAAATTGTACACCTCATGAGTCTCCCTTTTCCAAGAATACTAGAAATATATTCTACAAATTTAAACAGTATAGGCTGTTAATTCTCATGATATTTCAAATTTTTCGGTAGATAATGATGAAGTTAGAGTTATTAATAAATATTTGATTCCTTTAAGTGAAATGGAGAATTGTATCCATTTCATTTTGAGATTAAAATCATTAATATCTAAAAAGCCATGCTGACTAACAAAGAGAAGCTAAAAATTAGGTATCTTGTATTAAATTGTTAGCTGAATTGAGAGAAAGAAAATGTTACTGAAGGAAACATAAACGTTGCTCCAAATTATGGTAAAGCATCTCACATTTTTGTAAATTACACTACATATAGTGTAAATCATAACTTATATGCACAGAGAAACATAAAAATGCATGCTACTCGTTTTATTACAATCTTCATACTATTCTGAAGAAACAAAACTAAACCTACAAGTCAAAATAAGCTTGCATTTGCATGAAAGAAATACGGGTAAAAATGGCTAAAAACTTTAAATGATATGCAGTTATGCTTCATGTGCAAATGTTGATTACAATAATGTCTAGACTGGATATAATTTCATTCAAAATATCAGATTAAAAACAAGTGCACAGAACTCAATATCTCATAGCTCCATGCTAATGGGAACATTTACAATTTAAGCAAATTATGGTACTTCAGTAATCTGTTTGCAAAGTACATTTAGCCAAAATTATACCAATCACAAACTAGGGAAGATTTTTTTCAATTTCGTACAATCTCTAATTTTGCTCATCAATAAATATTTGACCAATGCAGCATTATTAAAAAAGTATGACACATTAAAAAAACAAAACAAAATCTTGTTTTGGAAAGAATAACAAAATCTTGAATAGCAATTAAAGTATTTCTAAAATAAATGGGAAAATAAGAAAAAGGCATATATATTGAATTACTGCAAATGAAAAGTGCTTAAAGCTTTCACAAATAATTACTCAACATACAATATTATTAAGAAACATTTAAAATCTTTTCTTATTATGAAAGAAAGATTTT